ATTAGATAGATTAGAGAGATTAGATAGATTAGATAGATTAGATAGATTAGATAGATTAGATAGATTAGATAGATTAGATAGGTCAGATAGATTAGATAGATTAAATAGATTAGATAGATTAGATAGATTAGATAGATAAATAGGTAGATAGAAAGATAGACAGATAGACAGACAGACAGACAGATAGATAGATAGATAGATAAGATTAGATAATATTAGATAAGATGCGATAAGGTTAGATAAGATAAGATAAGGTTAGATTAGATCAGATTAGATAGATAGATAGATAGATAGGTAGATAGATAGTTTTGATTTGATTTGATTTGATTTGATTTGATTTGATTAGATAAGATAGATAGATTGACAGACAGACAGGCAGAGAGAGAGAGAGAGATAGATAGATAGATAGATAGATAGATAGATACTGTAGATAGATAGATAGATAGACAGATAGATAGATAGGTAGATAGATATAAGATCAGATAATATTTGATAAGATTAGATAAGGTTAGATTAGATTAGATTAGATCAGATTAGATTAGATAGATAGATAGTTTAGATTTGATTTGATTAGATTGGATTTGATTAGATAGGATAGATAGATAGACAGACAGACAGACAAAGAGAGACAGAGAGATAGATAGATAGATGGATGGAAGAATGGATGGATGGATAGATAGATAGGTAGATAGATAGATAGATAGACAGACAAACAGACAGACAAAGAGAGAGAGAGAGAAAGAGATAGATGGATACATAGATAGATAGGTGGGTAGGTCGGTAGATATAGTCAGAGAAAGAGACAGAAAGAGAGAGAGAAAGAGCGAAGACCTCAACCACCTTTCGGTCCGTCAGTGGCTTCGCTCTGCCGTCCGTGATTCACAACAACCAACCTCTCCTATAGGTTTCCTATTTCTGAAACTTCCGCCACCGCCTTGTGCGGTACTACTGGTAATAATATTAATAATAGTTAATAATAATAATAACAACAATAATAATAATAATAATCGTTCCATACATGTCCGTACATGTCCGTACATTTCCCACAAACCATAGTTAATATGATCTCCATGGTAGCATGACAATCCTATGTGAGCATGAACGGACCATAGTTTACTTGGTGGCTCATGAAGGTTATAACCCTAGTTATAAGTGGACTAACCCTACTTATCCCACTTATAACCAAGGATATAACCTGCTTAGCAAGTGGGATGACCCGCGAAGTAGGAGTTTTATCTTCACCGTCGAAGGTTCATAATGATTCTTGATTGGTTGAAATGTCCACTTCTTTGAAACACCAAATATTACATCAAAAAAATACACAGCCCCTAAATCCCGAATTGTAGAACTTGGAAGCATACGGAGGCTGCAAGATGATGATTTTCCGATCTTTTCCTGGATGGTTTTTCCGACCGTGACATCTCTCCGGACACCGAGGAACGGCCCTCCTTGTATTCCTTTTTTCGGAGAATATGCGGAGATCCCTTCGGCCATTCGAACAGGTCACCGGGTGTCAGCCCGAAATGATTGGATCATACTGGATCCATGTGGGGGAAACATGTTTTTTTTTGGAGTAGATTGAAAATGAGTAGAAATGTAGAAAGTAAACATGCCATTCTTAGCCTCGGGGATAGGAACAATGAAAATATGGCCATGTATCAAAGTCAGATTAGAGCCTCTGGATTATCAAAATAGTTGCTATTTACGGGTATTATTCTCTCCAAATATGGTACAATGTGGGGCCCCCGTTAGATAGCTAAGTTGGTGAACATAACCCCAATGTCACTATGGTTTATCATACGCAAATAACTATAGTATTCATGGGGTTTATAAACCAACGTTCACATCACTGGGGGGCCCCACATATGGTACAATAGGTTTTGATCTATCTCCGAAAATCCGCCGGTTTTTCGGGACAGATGACCTAAAATGGCTGCGATCTAGCCCACTCACAGGTGGTTACAGTTATTGCCCGAAATTCCAGTTATAAGTACTGAAATAACCCCATTTATAGAGTGTATAACCCCATAGAAATAACCAGTTATAACTCATAAACGGCCATAACTGTAGTTCTTGCGTCATGCTACTCCAAAAATATTTCAAATGATCATAATCCACTGGGAATTTTGTTCTCAACCAACCAGGATAACCTTGGCTTCTCACAATGAGGGGTCCCCGTTTTGGAGAACGCTAAGTTGGATTATAACTCCAATAACTATGGTTTATCACACTTATAACTATAGTTGATGGGGTTTATAAACCAACTTATACCTGGGGGGGGTCCACATTGCAACCAACCAGGATAATCTTCTGAAAATTCCCTTCTAGTTTCCCATTTGGAAATCCACCAGGCCTGGGGGATCGAAAAAGGGCATATGTGTTTTATTGTTCCCCGCCTTACGATGCACATCCAATTTTCCAATTTTGACCCATACTTGGATGTGCTTAAAACCCATTGACATATATAGGATTCCCCCAAGTAGGCCATATCTTCCGCCGAATTTTGCAAGGAATATCTTTGTTTCAATTCCAATACACCCAAAACCATCGAATTCACCTGTGCAAATGTTCACCAACTTACAGTAGCTATCACGAAATCACATATAAATCCCCGTTGTTTGGTGCTGAAATCACCAGTTTTCCCACTTTTTTTTGTGGGTAAACCACCTTGTGCCATCATGTACCATCAGTAGCCGAGCATTTCTAGATGTTTTCATCAAAACATTGGATTTTCATTGGTAAATCCCCATTTTCGAACTTGGTGGCTCCAGCGAACAGATTGAACACCAGGTATTGCATCCCAGATAGATTAAGTGGTTAACAACAATACTGAAACCTACAATTAGTGGGGCCCCCCAGTTATAAGTTTACAATGGGCTATTTTTGTAGAGATGGTTAATTGGTTTTAACCATACTATGATAACTATGGTTCATGATACTTATTAGTTGGTTTAGATTCACCCCATGAATACTATAGTTACATTTTCCCCACTAACTATAGCTGGAACGCGTATGATAAACTATATACTTATTGGAGTTATGTGAACCCCAACTTAGCGTTCTCGATTTCACGGGGGCCCCACATTGTATAGATCTCTATCATTCTACAGGATATACCAAATGAGCAGTGTTCAAAACCCTGGTTGGTTGATGATTATAGGGGATTATGATTATACTACCCAATATATTGGGAATTACAATAATGATATAGGGGAACCCCTTAACCAACGAGTATAATGGAATGAGAGAGGGATTTTGAACACTGCTCAAATGTTTATATATATATATATATATGTTATTTGTGTTGCTTAAAGCTCAAAATTGGATGCAGCATGGGCCATCTGAAAACCAAGCACGGTTGGGGCACAGGATGGTGCCCCCAAACGTGATGTGAATGTTTCTTTATAAACCCCAACATCCATGAACTTTATAGTTTGTTATATCTACCATAAACCATAGCTGTTTCAGCCACAGCCACAGCCACATATTGATTCAGCCACAGCCACATATTGATTCAGCCATGTTGGTTTAGAACTCCCATTAACCAGATCGTTATCTCTACCATAAACCACACTTTTTTAAGGCAACTTACAAATATATATATATATATTTACATATTCCATGATATCCCCATGGTTGTTGATATACCATGACGTCAATTCCATTCACTATACCCATTTGCTCCATGGTGCTGGAATATGTGCCAACATTTGCCCCAAAAATCACCCAGTTATGTAGGTAAATATACTATACATATAGCATATGGGATAGATAAAACATCATGGGCCCCCCTAGTTACAAGTTGGTTTATAAACCATAACCCCCATGAATACTAGTTCGTGATATCTACCGTAAACCATAGTTCATTCAGCCACTTTTTTGAGGCAACTGAACGCCAGCTCAATACGATCGTTCGTTATATCTACCATAAACCATAGTTCATTCAGCCACCTTTTTGAGGCAACTGAACGCTATCTGTCAGAAATCGCCGGCCCCCAGGTATTGCCAATATGAAAGACTTGCGCGCCTTCGTCCTATGGGGCTGTCAGAGCTTGGTGGAGCTCCCCAGCGGCATCTTCGACTACAACCCGCTCTTGGAGGCGCGGTGACAGTCAATTCCATGGGATTCATGAGTTTCAATGGGATAATTGTGGTAAAAAAGAGTCCCTTGGTTAATAGTTGTTTATAGTGAATAATAGTGGCTAATAGTGGTTAATAGTGTTTATGTATGTATGTATGTATGTATGTATGTATGTATGTATGTATGTATGTATGTATGTATGTATGTATGTATGTATGTATGTATGTATGTATGTATGTATGTATGTAGTATGTATGTATGTATGTATGTATGTATGTATGTATGTATGTATGTATGTATGTATGTATGTATGTATGTATGTATGTATGTATGTATATATACATATGTTGTTTGTAGTGGATATAAGTTTGCTTACAAGGTGGTGCCCCCCCAGTGATGTGAACGTTGGTGAACATAAGCCCCATGAAAAGTAGTTCGGTATATCTACCATATGAAATTGGAGCTATGTTCACCCACTTAGCTATCGTTTGGGGGCCCCACATTGTGGGATTGATGAGCTTCAATGGGATTTCAAATGCGAATGGGATGAACTCATGGTGATTTAAAAAGGAATCTGAAGGACAAGTGATGTGTGAATTTGATGAACTCAGCGTGCTTTGAATGGGATGTTGATGGTGAATTTGAGATAGTTATATCTGGGTGAGTTGAATGGCATTTAGTGACTGCAAAACCCCTGGTGACTAGTACGTTGATGGGCATGTAACAATGATTTATAATGATTTATAGGATGGTTAGACCATTCAAAAGGTCTTAAAACTATGTATAAGTGACAAATGCTGTGGTTGATTCATGTCTTTCCGTTCAAAAAATCACGACTTTTCTAGCCATTCAGGATTCTCACTTAAGCCATGACATGGCATCATGGCATCCCATTCCCAAGGAACCTGGTTGATGGTTGGGGTGAGGATTCTGGGGAATCATCCCCGCAAAAATGTGGCCTACCGGGGTAGATCGCTAGCGCACTACACTGGTGGGTACTGGCTCGATGTGTTTAGGTCATTCAGATGGGAGGCAAACTGTTTCAATTTGTCAGCTTTGTGAATTATTTATCCATGTTTATCCAGGGTTTAATGTTCACAGCATGGGAATTCATGCATTCAACCTTTGAAGTTACGTAATTGCTTGCTGCCGCTTGTAATCATGAACAATGTCTACAACGTGGTGCCCCCCCTGTTTTAGGCTGAGTCATAAGCCCAGTATCTAGTTGGATATTTAACGTTATAAGCATACTTTTATCGATTATTAAAAAAAAACTTATAAACCGTAGTTATCCATAGTTCACCAAACCGTATAGACAGATGAAGCCGGTAGATCAAACACTGGATTGGTTCAAGGGAAAATGTTAACCGGAGACCATAGATTGTCCCATCAAATATGGGGTTTTCCGGTTTCAATTTTTCCTTAAACAATCCATTGAATCAGTTTTCATCATGGTTCCACGATAATTATTCCCATGATATTCCATAGTTCCATGGTATTCCCTCTATATTCGCATCAAACAGCTGATTTTTCTGCTCAGTTGGATATTTAAAATTCATAAGCATACTTATATCATCTTATATCCATTACAAAAAAAAACATATGTATAAACCATAGTTATTCATAGTTCACCAAACAGTGGCATGTTTTTTTTCGAATGTGAAACAGCTCGATTTTTCGGCTCAGTTGGTGTAATTAACCAATATTAAGCATTATTTACAATAATTAACCAGAATTAACCATTTTTTAATTATCAACCATTATTATATGTTAGCCATTATGATATTAATCATTTTTAACTATTATTAATAATCCATAATTACTCAACAATTATTAACTAGTATTAATATCATAGTGTACCTTACAGTTATTAATAAGAGTTATTAACCATTATTAACTATTATAAATTATAAAGCTTTATTAACCATTATTAACTATAAACAATGATTATCCATTATCAACCAATATTAACCAATATTAGCCATTATCAACCAATATTAACCTATATTAACCATGATTAACTTTTAACATCTATTAACTATTAACAGCGTGAAAAACTGCTCAGTTGGTGTACCTCTTCAACAACGGCATCGTCTCTTTTGAGGAGAATCTCTTTGAAAACTCCACGTGCCTTGGAAGATTTGGAAGCGCTGCCCATTTTGGGACATGGGACGTCCGTTTTCAAAACGGAACCCATAGAAAATCAATAGACAACCCATAGGAAACCCATAGAAACCCATAGAAAACCGTGGTAAAAGAATGGGAATATCATGGGAGTATCATTGGCTAATAGGATATCTAAGGATCATGTGGTAACCAATGGATTGGTTGGGAATTTTTACGGTTGAAACACTCATATTTCATAGGAAAGTCAATGGTTTTCGGTTTCGATTTTCCCTTATAAACCAATCCATGGATATTAAGAAAACCCAAAGTTAGAAAGAACATCGGAACATCCATTGAAAACCGTATTTCGTTTTTCTGCAAAACAGATTTGACTTCGTAACAACCAGTTCCAAAATAATGGTCAATTGGTTTGTTTTCTGCATTTTTTTTGGGGGGGGGAGGCCACTAATACAACCCTTTATGAAACTGGCACATAAACAGCTTCAATCACAGGCAAGGTATCGAAGATTGACCATGGGCAATTTGTTTGATGACCTCCCAACCACCTCACAACACACAGTGAGCACCTTATTTCACTTAAGGCACCGGTTCTAATTGGTTCAATGTTTTTTGCTGTCAACACCGTGAATTGCAGTCAGATACTATTTTTGGGAATGAACATTCGAGATACAAGCGAATGTTGGTGTGTAGGTTTAACCAGGAGGGCCTACCGGGGTAGAGCCCATGCCAACGATGATGGGTACAGGATGTAGGTGGATCAAACGGTAGCCGGCCCACGACTGGGACAAACTTGTGGGGAGTCCTTCAAAAAGAATAAGGGGGGGACCGCAAATCCAAGTTGCGCTCTGGTGATGAAGTGTGGCACTGGGGAAATTCCCTAGAAATGCATGTTTTTGTTTTTTTTTAATGGGAACATCATCTTTTTAATGGGTGATTCTCCAGCAAGCCACGTTTGAACCGGGGAACCCGCTGATGAAAGTCCAGGTAGGAATCAGGGCACAATCTGATTGGATTCCCGACGTGGTGAAACAGCACACTTGGTCATTCCGGAATCGTTGTATTTTCAAGTCCCATATGCTCCATGGTGCTGGTATATTTACCTACATAACTGGGTGAATTTTGTTCGGGCAAATGTTGGTAAATATTCCAGCACCATGGTTCGCATATGGTAGTTGCTAAACTTTGCAGCGGCGGTGCCTCACCAGTTCAAGGAAAGTCGTTTTGTAAGCCCTCATCTTGGATAGATATGTCTACCATAAGCCCAAAAAAAATTGGAGTTGTAAACCAACATGGCCCTCTCCGCACAGTTATGTCCCAAGTTATACCAGTTATAAGTACTGAAATAACCCCATTGAAAAAGAGCGTATATCCCCATAGAAATAACAAGTTATAACTCATAAACGGCCATAACTGCAGCAACCTTCCAAATGACCAGAATGACCAGGGGACATTTGGAGATGCTGATCGTCGACTCAAACAACCATAGTTTCCTGGAAGCATACCACAGTGAAAAGTAGGATTGTCATGGGAATATAACTAGTGGCCCATATGCTCCATGTATGGTATATATACCTACATTTGGGTGATGTTTAGGGCAAATGTTGATAAATATTCCATACATGGAGCATATGGGTGGGGATATCACCAACAAAATCGGAATATCACAGGACTACAATCCGACGAGATATACATAGGATGTAGCAATGTTTTGAGGACGGTCATGATTTTTTCATGACTGTTTTTGCTCACACGGATTCATGCGGTTAGTTGTAAGGAATCCCATTGTGCAGGAAGGGTTTTAAATTGGAGTGTACCCCAGCATTTGAATTGGGAAAATCATGGAATATCATGGAAAATCACTGCTGGATTTGGAGCCATGGTCAGAGTGTAGAGGCGACTTTCGGTTCTGTGCCATGATCAACGGTTTTTACCCAACACTTAAGGGATGGTCATACCATCATAATGATGGATAATGATGATTAATAATGCTTAGTAGTGGTTAATATATGTTAATACCCTAGCTCAATCTTACATGGATACAAACTAATCCTAACTAGTCTTTTGGTATTAATGGGAGTATCTACGTTCACCAGCAAAGAATTTATTTGTTTGCAGGGTATCTAAGATTGGCAATGTACCGGTTGATGATGGTGAATCATGGATAATGATGATTACAATCATGGTTACGTGCTGGCAAACTACCCACGAATCCGAAGAAATGATTAGATAAAAACCTAGTTATTTCATGTTATTTCAGTGGATTAAGCCTACGTACCCTCTGGTAAACGTTTACATAACTATGGAAAATCACCTTTTTTTTAATGGGTAAATCAACGAACATTATTTCGCCATGTTCAATGGCTATGTGACAGTCATTACCAGAGGGTACTTATCCCACAAAACCAGGGATAGCTACTTGGGATTCGTGTGATTTTTCATCACGAAAGGGATAATTCCCTCATTTCATGGTGCGCTGACCATGGGCGCCACATGAAAAGCACCATGTGTTGATGCATGGAGTTGCTTAACAGCTAAGTTGCTTTGGTGAAACAGCAACTTAACAATAGCCTCTGGTAAACGTGGTAAACGTTTAAGTATGGAACATCACCATTTTTACGGGTAAAATCAACATAAATCAACATAAAATGGATGATGATTTAGGGGTACCCCCATGGATGTGCTGCAGTATCTCTACAATGTGGGGCTCACGTTTCGAAAGCGCTAAGTTGGGGTTCACATAACTCCAATTTCACGCGAGGGTTTATGGTAGATATACCGAGCTAGTTTTCATGGGGGTTATAAACCAACGTTCACATCACTGGGGGGGCACCACCTTGTAGGTCAATCAACCGGATGGGTAGAAACAAATCCAGCCACTCTTTTTTTGGTGATGGGATAAAA